TGTGTCTTCAACTCCTGAGATTCTCTCATCCGTCTCTTGTATTGTTGGTTATGCTTGTGTCTGTAGTTCCTGATCATTTACGCAGCTTTTCTGTTTCCAGCATTCTCTCAGATTGTGCTTTCTTTATTGTCTCTATTTCAGTTTTTAAGTCTTGAACTCTTTCCTTGAGAGATTTGTTGATTTCTTGTAATTTTTTGGTTTGTTTTTTCTTCCATTTCTTTAAGGGATTTTCTCATGTCCTCTTTGAGGTCATCTATCATTTTCATGAAGATGTTTTTTAAGCTCATTCTCTTCTGCTTCCTCTGCATTGCGATGTTCAGGTCTTGCTGGTGTATGGTTCCTAGTCTCTGGTGATGTCATATTGGGTTTTCTGTTGTTGAATGTGCTTTTACCTTGTCCTCTCCTCATCCTCTCTTCTGGTGGGTATAGCAGGAATCTCTTCCTCTCCTGGTGGGTATGGGACCAAGGTTCCCTTCTGGTAGATGCAAACAGTTCCAATACTCTGATGTTTGTCTTCTTGTCGTGGATGGAGGTGGCACTGTTACCAGGGCCTTGGCAGTGTCTAGGTGTGTTGGATCCCGCTGCTGAGTTCGGATCCGTTGAGCAGATCCCTGGTGTCAGATGTTTCCAAGCAGGGCCGCTGAGCAGGAACCGGAACCATCCCCTGGCCTACCTGGAAGCCTTGGCAGTGTCCAGGTGTGTTGGATCCTAATTCTGAGTTTGCATCCAACTCTCAGTTTTCACTGAACAACAATGGAGACCATCCTAGCCATCTAAGAAATTAGGATGAGTTTATGTCTCATCTCTTGAGCTTATAATTTTCTTTACATTTAACTTTCACTTGTGATGCCATTCATATGTCGAACTACACAACTCAATACTGAAGTCTTCTCACTGCTTGGAATGCAGGCAGTAGCTGTCTTCCCTGCCTCCTCTTAGCTTCCTGGAAATTGGTGGAGATATTATATTATATGCACAGACCACTCTGAGTGGTGGCCTTTCGCTTATTGTTCTGTATCTCTCATCATTCAATCAAGTGATCGTGAGGATGGCTGCATGTCACTTCACCTTCAGAATACTTCTGTTCAACTTCCATGGTCTTGAACACATTCTGGGTTTGATGACTCAAGGAGGAGGTGGTGCAAGGCAGAAGGAAAGCATGGACAGTTTGGCAGATTGTTAAACTTGGACACATATCCTATTTCAATATGTACATCTTCAGCCATCAGATGTATAGTTCCTCTTTACAAGTGACAGCCAGAGGGGATTTGATCTTTCGTTTTAGAAAAGAAAAGCAGATTCTGAAGCAGCTGAGAGTTGAGCTAATCTGTCTGTGAGATTTGGACATAGTTCCTTAACAAGGGTCCTCTATAGCTGACTGGAAATAATAAAGCCATGGCTGTGCCTGCCTGATTGTACCTGTCATCTTGCTCCAAGTAAAGGCAGCAATGTCCATTGATGTCACTGACTGTCAAAGCAGTTGCAAGGACCAGCTGGAAAATGAAATGGTCTGCTTAATTGGCCACAGGTGATAGTCAATGCACTGGAGTTTCATTTAGTAACATTTAGCAGATCTGCTTTGTCTCAAGTGTCCTGTGATGTTAAGTGAAAACTCTAAATTGTCATAGACCTGATGGCATAGTCCTCTGTTTGTTTTAATAATCCCCTATAAAAGTTAAGAGCTACGTTCATCAGATTTAGATTTGCAAGTTAGTAGAGAAGTTCTTTATCCTCAGTCTATAGGTTGGAGGAGTCCAGGCAATTTATCCTTCCTCCAAACACCAGTGCCATCATGTTTGTGAGGAACCTGACACTCAGGTTGGGTCTGGAAATTAAGTTTTCTACAACTGTGTCTTTGGACAAAGAGTGGAGTCTAGCTTTAGTAAGATGAACACAGCAGAGAAAGCTATCCATTTATTAAAATTCATTTTCTTCTCTTTCTGGTCACATAACTAGATTAATTTCCCTATCTTCTTTTGGTTATTTAGGATGATGAGTCTGAGTTTTGTGCTGGAGAAATTAAAATGAATTGATAAGTATCAAGCTGTTGCCAATGTGCTCAGTGCTGAAGAAGCAGGCATCTTCTCTCTGGATGAGTGCAAGCATTGTGACACAGAACCTCAGAATGGAAAGATCTGGAATTCCCAGATAGGGATTGCTCATTTGGGAGCGTCTGTACTAGTGTGTATTAGTGCATATCCTGACTCTCTCCCTCACCCCTCCCTCTCCTCCCTCTCTCTATGTTTTCTCTCTCTCTCTTCCCCTCTGTGTGTGTGTGTGTGTGTGTGTGTGTGTGTGTGTGTGTTGGATGACATTATAGTCTTTTAGCCACAGGTAGGGTGACTAGGAAGAAGGTGCCTGGAGTGAATAGGGCCATTTGAAATTTCTTTGCAGAGATAAATTAGGGGAAATTGATTTTATAACTGAAGAAATAAAGGTTGCAAATGCAACATTATTTTCTGAACTGACACAATCACAAACTTATAGCAACTTCAGATGTACAGTGAGTCTGTACAAAAAGGGCCCACCAATGGCCAGGCATAGATGGAGAAGGGCCTCAGTAGCCCTATCTCCCATTACAAAGCTATTTGCTACTGATGGATTCAGGAAAAAGGCAGTCATAAGCTTTTGTTATATCCACTTGTTACCCTGTCAGGCTTCAGTGGGAAGTTCCAATCCAGTGGTTATGCATTTGGCCCTGGGTCAAAAAGTGGGTCATAAAACAACCCCAAATTCAGGAACCCGGGGAAGGGACTGGTAAGAGTTAGAGGGTGTCACAGGAATAGGAAGGAGATAACACATGGCAAGGGGAGAGAATAATATAAATCTATTTTATCTATATAATGAAAATCTATCTATATAATGAAATTGTCAAGGAACCAAATTAATAAAAACGAGAACACAATCTTTATTACTTATGATATAAAATATGAATCTAGAAAAGAGAAAAAAGCTAACCTAAATATTTTATGCAGACCACATAGAATAGTAGTTTGGCCAGACAAAAAAGGATAATTGGAGAGATCTGAAGTGAGTGATATTTGTGAAATTTGTGGCATTTGCATAGGGGATGCGTGTGAGTGATAGGGAAGTTTGAGAAATTGGCCAGAAGTCAGGGTGTGGTTTTAGTTTCTGCATCATCAACATTGGCAAAGAAACTGACTGCAGCTGTGGATGAGCAGTGAGATGATAGCATGTGGGGACTGGGGAGCGGCAGGGTGAGTTGGGGGATGGCTCACACACAAGTGGGAGGGAAACGAATGTGGCTTTTGCTTATGGCAGTGGGTTTGTTAAGTACTGTGCTCGCTGATAAGTGACCATGAGGAATAAGAAAAGGCTACTTTCATTTTCTCTCAGGATCTCTTCCTGGGATCATTTCTCTGCATGGTAGCAATGGAGTTATACATTACTATGATACAACAGGAAAAAACTTGTCACTGACGGGCCAAGGGCAAGCCTAGGCAAAATAAAGAAAGCTCAGAGAGGCGGAAGATATATTTGCATGTGGCACATTTTTCTACAACGTGAGTATGGACATTTTGAGTATCTTTCATGTTAAGTGGATGTAGTGGTAGCTAGTCATACTGGAAGCTGCCCCAGAATCCTGACGTTCTCTAAGTGCTTAGGAAGAAGTGCTAGGTGCACACATTGTGGTAATAATTACGCCCTTGAGCAGGAGATAGGGAGATTATACGAAGACAAGGTGGGCACGCTGGGAAAATCAGCTAATGGTCATTTTATTTACCAGGAATTTTGGATGGTGAAGTTGGAGACGTATGGCTTGTTGGCCAGCTCCACTGAAGATGTTAAACAGAGGAGAGGCACGGGCATGCATGGGCTTTGGAACCACTGTTCTGTTAGCCTTGAGGAAAATGAATTAGAGATGAGAAAAATTGGAAAGACTGAAGTGCATGAAAGGTTACAGCAGTTTTCAGGTAAGAAATACCGAGGGGGTAAGCAGCATGATCAGGGGGGGAAGTAGCATGATCAGCACAGGGAGTGAGACATTGACGTTTGGGGTTGGAAAAGCTGGACTCTTGTTAACAACCTGTTCTTACAGAAACAAGTAGAAGGTTTGAAAATGATTATGTAATGCTGTGTGGATTTGAAGATGCTGTTGAAGGTGTTGGGAAGGAATTTGGTGTTACACCATTATATTTTACATCCAGTCTGGGGAACAAAGCCACCCTGGCCCTCAGAGAGCATTCAGAACCCAATGGCCTCTCATTACTTTCTCATCTGCTGCACTACAGCAAGCCACCATCTACTCTTGCCTGGATTGTTATAGCGCTCTTTAGATTTCATATTTCCACTTGGGCTTCCTGTAAACTATTCTCAATGCTATGGACAAAAATTTCCTTTGAAAATATAAGAACAGGCTTCTTAGTATCTTTCATTTCCTCCTGTTCTTTGAGTGGAGTAAACGTCTATCATCTACAAAACGTTCCATAGCCTGTCTCTCTCTGTTGCTCCCATCCCACCCACATATCCCCACAAACCCACCATCTGACCCCCACATCGCAGCACCTCTGTCTTCTATAATGTAAACATGCTTTCTCCTTTCTGACCCAATGAATAGCATTTCTTGTTGTTTAACTTACTTTGTTTTTACTATATTATTTTTTATAATTTCATTTTTTTCTATATTCCTCAGTGGAATATTATAGTGATACCATATATATATATGGTATACACATATGCTGTTCATAGCCACTTCTCAATATTTGTTGAATGAATACATTTCCAGGGAAATAAAACTAAAAACAAACAATTAAAATTGGGATTTTTTTTTCTTGAGTAGGTGGAATATTGACAGATATTCTCACATTATCTACAAAATGTTTTTAAGCACTTTAAAATTCATTGCATAAGTAATCAAGTCACAAAGAAACTATTCAATTGCAAATTCTTAATGCTAAAACTGGGACTTCCGGAAGAGATTTGGTGACACACCCACAGTCAAAAGAACGTTGTAGACACTTATGTCCTGGATGAGGTAGGAAGAAGGTTACAGGGAGTGCATCCTGCCATTGTCATAAATTTCACCTCTTCATTGGAAACATGGATGCTAGGGGCAGGGTACAGCTTGTTGGGAGGGCTCAGAGACCTTTTGCTTATGTATCTCAGAAACAGTAAAAAGTAATAGCTGAGAGGCATGTGTCATGGGGTATCATCACTTTGCTCAAGTCCTGAAAAATGCAGTAATGCCGTAACTTGAGCCATAAGCTTTAGGGAGATGTGTTTTATAATACAACAAATAAAATGTAAGTGGAAAATATTGTAATTGTGTATGAACTGGTCTAAAGAATTGTAACATTGAAAAAGTGAAGTTAATAAAGTCAGCCTTTGAATTGCTTGGATAACGTATCCATTTGAAAATATTGATTGGATTTTTCATTTGTGCCAGACACAGTTCTGGATAGTGAGTAATACAAGATTAAAAAATGCTTGCTGTTTCTCTTTACAACTGGGATACACAGGTAGGTGAATTAATAGTTACTTACTGGGCAAAAATATGATGAGAGAGTCAAGTAAAAGGCTCTGTGGGAGGCAATAAGAATGAAGTATCTAACCAATCACAGAATGATATTGTTTGTAGTATATAGGACATAAATGTGCAGAGACAGCATTTGAAGAGAAAAACAGTATTCATGGTTTCCTGTGCATGCGTGTGCACACACACACACACAGACACATACATGTGCATACACACACACATGCATGCACATACACGCACATACATGCACACACACATGCACACACACACACACACACACACACACACACACACCTCTTTCTCTACATGTATATAATATCCTAGTAATAAAATAGCAATTCTAATGAAAATACAGGTTTATATCATTTTAAATTAATCAAATTGGTAGTTGGATTCATGCAAAATACAGCATCTTTATAGGAGATTATTCAATAGTTGAAAATTTGAGCATGTGGTTCAGGGCAACGGTTAGGTTAGAAAGTGCCATTTTGACACCAGGAGTTGTAGGCAATGGCTAAAGCCATCAGCATGATTAAGATCACTCCAACTGTCAAGAGGAAGAGAGGGCTAAGACTAATCTTTTTGGTTCGATGTCAGGAGAGAAACCTGGAAAAAAATGTTGGAAAAATCCACCAATCTAAAGCAGAACCTGGGGACCTATTAGAATGTTAAGAAGGAGAAAAAAAAAACCCAAAATATAAAAATAAGCGCCCCCCAAAACAAAAAAAACATAACCTTGTCAAATATTTCATGAAATCAAACAGAAGACATTGGAGTTCTGTTGGTGAAAGGGAACACTGCAGATAGCAGATAGTTTCTTTAATTGATGAGCAGGCTCAGAGTTCTAAAGTGATTTTGTTACTCCTTAGTGCACCCTGTCAAAAATAACTCAGGAAACAGAAATAAATCAGGCAACAAGTCCTGGGCGTGGCCTTTCCACCCTGGTGACAAATGTATCACCTGGTTTCAGTTAGTCTAATATAACGGTATGATTGAGTTCCCCCTGCCCAATTCAAGTTTGAGTGGAGAACATATGATTTATGGATTTTTAAAAGCCAGGTCTGTCATGCTGTGGGGAGGGTATGAATAGCATGGGTAGGTATAGCATGGATCCCATGACATAGGCTCTGTCCTTCTCCAGCTCATGTTTCTTGTCCTCCCTTTTCCTAACGCCTCCTCCAAAGTTTCCCTATGGCCTTTAAATCCCACACAATATTTGACCACACAATATTCATCTCGTTGTGGGCCATGATGTTTCTGAGGGATCAAATTGCAGAAACAAATAAAGTGCAGATAATGACATTTTGGACCGTATGGCCCATCTGTTTCTTACCAAGTTTAGAGACATCCTATAGGGCGAGTGGGAAGTGGGCACTGAGACACTTAAGGATGCTGGTGGTGGGAAGCACTGTGATTACTGGCTGGACGTAACGTGGATGAGCTGGTCTATGTCTAATCCTTTGTGGCTTCCCGTATGACACACTGTAATGAAAACACCACCGCAAATTACAAGAGTTGTCAAAACTGGCTACTGGAAACATTCTTTACTGTGGAGTTTGTGAACCCAAAATGAATAGTATGTTGCAGGGTACACAGAGTCCTGTGGATGCACACACAAGCGAGGCAGTTGAGATAAGGATGGCGTAAAGTGTTGGGATTGAGAGAAAATCCTGTTATAATTGGGAACATAAATCAGTCAAAAGTCAAATTTCATTCACGGAGCTAAAAACTCATATTTACTTTGTTGTTGTTTTGGGACAGGGTTTCAGTAGGTAGCATTGGCTATCTTGGAGCTTGCTATGCAGACCAGGCTGGCTTCAAACCCACAAAGATCTACTTTTGTCAGCCTTCCAAGTGATGAGATTAAAGACCTGTACTACCATGCTCAGTCTCATATTTACGTTTGAATGATAAGAATTTACTTTGTTGAAGGTAGTCTGCCTTTTAAACTTTTTTCCAGTACTTCCCATTGTTTAAGAGATTTGGAGTGTGTGATGCAATAGCTAGATACAAACTCTTTTCCATAAAATTTTCTAAGTATTTCAGTCCTTCAAGGAGATTTATATATAAAAACCATGTGCTCGAATCATGTCATGCAGTTTCAAGTTATGTGAGAAATGAGAAGTCTTAACAAAATTCATATTGAAGCCACAGTGTTACAATAATAATAGACACAGTGCCAAGTGCTTTTCACAGATTTTCTCATTTACTCCTCACAAAGTCTCTAGTCATGTTCCTTTGTCTTCTCTTGTTACATAGAAGGTGTCAGAGATGGGTATTTACAGGGAGTGCAGGGCAGAGTCTGATTCCAGAGCCATATCCTAATGTTTAACACTGACCTGTTTTAGGCCCAGTTCCTCACACTGTTGGCTGTGCTGCCTTTCCTTCCACCCCACTCCAGCCTCACCACAACATGAAGCAGACAAACCACAGACGCAACTGATAAAAAGATGGGGTCCATAGACAATCACATGACTTGTTCATGATCTCTTACACACAAAATGCAGACCAGACTACATTTTAGGTACCTAGCTTCTATTTTAGGGATTAGGGATAGATTTGGAAGAACCAGGAGTTAGGTGTGGCTGAGGTCCTCACAGAAGAACCAGCTCTTCCAGAAATAAGCACCTTGAAAGCCCTTTGGTGTGTTATCAAGAAAATGAAACAATGATTTCAGTGCTTTTGATTGTGTCTGAAGCTTCCAGTCTGTTCCTGTCTTCTAAAATGTTCATCTGCTCTTTCCTCCAAACCTAGAGGGACATATATCAACGCAGCAGATCCGTGCCTGTCTCAGCCATCATCAGAGAAGCTTCCTATTGGATGGAAATAAATACAGACACACACAGCTAATGTGCAGAGAGTATGAGATGTTGGGATACTCTGTCCTAAAAGGGATGTCTCTATCCATCTCCTCTCAGGACTCGGAACTTTGCAGAAGAGGAGGCAGAAACAGTGTAGGAACCAGAGTGAGTGGAGGCCACCAAGGGATCAAGGCTTTCTAAAAACAACAGCACCCTGCACAAATGAGCTCACAGAGACTGAGGCAGCAAGCACAGGACCTGTGTCGTCTGCACCAGAGGGAGTACTAGAACTGAAAGGAGACGTGGACACAGGTCCCCATCCCTAACTCAGAAGCTATCTCCAAGTCATTGTCCTCTTGCAAATGAAAATTTAGTTTTCTACAAGAGACTCGCTGGGGAAACAAATTACTCTTAAGGGTAGGCTGCATGCCCAGTAGTGGACGACAGACAGAAAATGAACTCCATGGCATCTTTGAAGGTTCCTTATCTCATAATGTTGCGCCAGGGCTTTTAAAATTAATTAATTAACTAATTTTTAACCTTACAGGTCCTTTGCATACATTTTGCTGCTTCTGGTTTTGTGTTTCTGTGGGATTCCTATGTGTGAAAGTAAGTTTTTGTACCTGTGTGTATTTCTCATGCTTTTCTTTGACTCCTTTTTTTCTGATTTGTCTGATTCCTACTTTTTTGTTCTGTTTAATTTTATCATTATTTCTTAGATGTCTGTTTTCTAATTTGAGACAGAAAGGGAGTAGATCTGGATGGGAGGGGCGGAGGGGAGGAACTGGGAGGAGGTGAGGAAGGGGAAGCCATAATCAGAATATACTGTATGAAAAACATCTATTTTTAATAGAAGAAAAGAAGGCAGCAACAACAAAATCCTCAAGAACTGGAGAGGCCAGGTAAATTGTACCTATAATCCCAGCACGCAGGAGACAAAGGAAGGAAGATTCAAATATTCAGGCCAGCCTGGGCTACACAATAAATTCCTGGCCAATTAGGGCTATGTAGAAAGACCTGTCTCAAAACAAAACAAATTGTCAGAAAGCAAAAACAAAAACTGAAAACCAAAACCAGGACCAATCAACCAACCAATATTAAAAACAAAACAAAAACCCTTAACCAATAAAACTAAGCAAGTCAACAAACAAACCATCTGCTACTCCAAACTTAGAGACTAGTTATTTAGAAAAATACAGCATGTTTAATAGGTGTAGAGCAGTAGGCCAAGGAGGTGAAAGACACTAGGAACTCTGCCCAGCTTTAAGGAAGGTGCTGTCATGAGTAGGAAGCAATATGGCGAGAATATTAATATGAGACACAAAGTGAGAACCACCTCAAGAAAAGTAGAAAGTTATGTGTGGTTCAAGAGGGGGAAGAATACATCTGGTTGTAAGAAATCCAGAAAGTTTTGTAGGTGGGTAAGGTTTCAACAGGGGAGAGATGTTTGTGAGGTGAAAACAGGGGAAATTCTAGCAGAGTGGTTTTCAGTGAGAAAGAGAACAGGAGCAAGTTTATATATTTTGCCTTAGTTTATGAAAACTACAAGCATTTTAATGGTTATCTGAAAAAAAGGAGAAGCATGAAACATACTAAAATTATATCTGAAGCCTTATATTGATGGCCATTTTCTTCTAAGGAAGTTGAAGAACCATGCTATCAAAAATAATTGGGACAACTGTATATCCTTTGTAGTAGGCGGGGGCTGAAAAAGAATCTAGTGCAGAAGTGACTGGCCATCATGGGAAAAGTCACTGGTGAGTCAAAAATAGAGTTGGTAGGATCTTTCCAGTTTCTTCTGCTTCCTTGTAACACAGAGTAGAATTTAAAAATGGGTAATATTAATTAGATGAGAAGAATGCCGTAGACCCTGTTTGCAATCTATAATTTTAATGACGATTTCTTGTTAAATAAGTTTACAAAGGTCTTTACCTCACACACACCCTGAAACTATTTTACACCTGATAAAAATCTCACAGCTCATCATGCTAGAGTGCTTGAAACTCATTAAAACATACCAAATACATATATTTCTAGTTATCAAGGAAATGAAAGTTCCAGAAGGTTGCTGTGTTGACCATAGCCTCTATGACATATGTGTGGCTACTCCCAAGAGCTCTCTTGTGGTGGTTACAGACATGAACTCATCTCTTACCTCATGGAGACCCTTAGTCTTTCAGGGTAGAAAGTAAGTTTCTCAGGAATTCTTAACCAAAGTGTTTAGGTTGCTGGCACTCAATCACATCTCAACCAATAGAGGCACGGTGGAAGGTTAAAATGAGAGAAGCCAGGGGTTGGGGGGAGATTGACACTGGCCAAACAAATTTTAGGTGCTGTTGTGAGGGTCCGTTAAGTGAAGTATAAGCACTCGGACAAATGCAATTGTCATCTGAGTGAACATGATGTTTTAATCACTTGATTTAGTGCCCTCCTAATCTGATTTCTCTTAATTTGATAACTAGAATCTAGTATAAACTCAGAAATGACTAACCAGTTAATCCATGCTAATCAAATATTGGGAAGTCCCAAATTTAAATAGTTCAAGTGATTCTCTTTAAGAGTGTCATAGTTTAAGGAAATTATCCAGAGATGATTCTGGATTTCTTTTTCTCATTTTAATCTTTCATTTTCTTTTAGTTTTTGTAACTTCTTAGATAACATGTTCTATTCTGATCGTATTCACCCCTTCTCCTATCTCCACCCAGATCCTCCACCCATTCCATACCCACACAAGACTGTGACCTACTTTTAAAAACCCACTGAGTCCCACTTGTGTGCCTATATACTCTTAGGTGAGTGGCCATGCACCAGAGTGTGTTAGACCTACCAGGGTCCTGTGCATGAAAGAAAGCCATCCCCATCAGGTAGCTCTTGTTTGCCCAAAGAGCTAGGAATCGGATTCCATGTCCAATTCCCCCTTCTTGCTAGGATTTTTGTTGTTGCTGTTGCTTGAGTTTATGAAGGTTTTGTGCGTGCTAGCACAAACACTGTGAGTGTGTAGGTACAACCAGCCTAGTGTGCCTGAAAACACTTTTCCATTGTCATCTGACTCTTCCAGTCTCTCACCCCTCTTCTGCAATAATCCTGGAGTCTTGATGGTTTAGTGTGCCATAGGGCTGAGCACTTCATTGTCACTTATTCTCTACACTTTGGCCAGTTGTGACTTTCTATGTAAATCACCCTTTATGGTAAAAAAAAAAAAATATCCCTCAGCTAGGGTTTGAGTGACATAGAAACCAATGCTTGTTAGATAATTAATTAAAAAGAAGAGTTGTTAGGAGTTGTTTTAATTCTATTCCCCATTAGTGGTATATTAATAGATTAATAGTAGGTTCTTTCTTAGGACTCATAACCTGTCTAGGTTCTTGGAACCAATAATTGTGAAACTTACGGGCTTTATCTTGCGGAATGGGCATTAAATCCCATCAGAAAGTGGTTGGTTACTCTCATGGCCATCCTGCCACCATTGAACCAGTGGACAAATCTTGCCAGGCTGGTTATGATTGTACCTCTCAATATTCAGAGCTGGATGAGACTGGTGGCTCTTTCACTCATTCTCTTGCATCCACAGTAGTTTCTAGCATCACGAAAGCCAGCCAGTAGGAATAAACCATTCAGGTCAATACTAGTTAGATTTGTCCACATTCTGTGCCTCCAGTGTGTGATGTCTTCAGCAACAATAGGATCTTAACTATCAAGCTCTGCAGGGAAGCCAGAAAAGCAATGACACTAGTCTGAAACATTTGAGGGTCTGTGGGACCTCTCTGTCCAACAACTCCAACAGAAATATCTCATTCTTTAAAAAAATTTAAATTAAAATATATTCTTCCCTAACACAATACATCCCTAACCATATTTTTGCCTCTCTCCACTCCTTGAAGCTCTCTGATACCTTCTCTCTGCCCCAGATCCAATCTTCCTCTGTTTCCTCTTCTGAGAATAGCAGGCCTCCAAAAGGTGACAGCCAAACAGGACAAAATAAGAAATGATAAGATGTGGTGATATATTATTTATGGTTTATTAAAGCTTGCCTGTGGATTCAGAAAGCAAAGTCAGCCACAAGCTATAGGGGTCAGGCAGTGGTGGTACACACCTTTAATCCCATGCCAGGACTCAGGATTAAGAGGTAGACTGATCTCTGTTAGTTCAAGGCCACACTGACTACTTGTAATTGATCTAGTCCTAAAAGAAACAGCTCACACAAAGGTGATCTCAGCACCTGGGATCACACACCTTTAATCCCAGCACGAGGGAGGTGGAGGCAGGAGAGATATGGCTGGGTGGAAAAAGGAATAAAAGGACCAGGATACAGGAACTGAGAGCTTTATGCCGCTGAGGATTCATGGGGACAGGATTGGCTCTTTCAGCTGGGTAGAGGTAAGAGCTACTGGCTTGGCTGCTTTGCTTCTCTGATCTTCAACTTGAAGCTTGAATGCCAATATCTGTCTCTGGGTCTTTTATTTATCATGCTTCGATAAAGCAAGGCAAACCCTTCATATTGAGAGACTGGGTAAGGCAACTCGATAGCAGGAAGAGTCCCAAGAGCAGGCAAAAGAGTCAGAGACACCCCCACTCCACCGCTAAGCATCCCACAAAACCACCAAGCTAACAGCTGTAACATGCAGAGAAGCTGATGCAGACTATTGCAGGCCTGATGCTTGCCTCTTCATTTGCTGTGAGCCCATGCGAGTCCTGCTTAGTTGATGCAGTGGGCCATGTTCTCCAGGTGTCCTCCATCCCCTCTGTGTCCTACAATCTTTCTTACCCCTCTTCTGTGGTTCCCTGATCTCCAAGGGGAGGGACCTGATGGAATTCTACAATTTAGACCTCATTCATGACACTAGGCTTTTTAGTTGGTGTTTTGTGGTATCTAGTAGGGGTATTGTTGCCCCTTTAGAGTAAGTCCATTTCAGCTCTTTTTACGTATGGATAGACTTATATTTTAGGAAGATTCTGTAGCAGTAGTTTTTCATATGACTTTATCAGAAGTTAGGTGGTGTTAGTTACCCCCCCTGTATTCCCTTTTCTACCCTGTCCTACAATGTCCACCACATTAAACCCCTTCAGGTGATTATTCCTGCTTCCCCTGCATGTCACTACTGCTTTCCCTTGACTAAAAGACCCCTTCTTCATGGCTCCTTATTAACTCCCCAACATTTGTGGGTGTTCAAAATGGCATACACACCTAACTATCCAAAGCTAACATCCACAGAAAGACTATTTTCAGTTTAATCAGTTTACCTGGGAATTTCCTAATTTTATTTTTCTTCAGAGTAGGGGAATATCCCATTGTGTAAGCTGTATTACCTTTTAAATGATTCATTCACACGCTGATGGGCATATAGGCTGTTTAAGTTTGATGTTTGATTTTTTTTTTTAAAGATGTATAGCTGGTAAATATTTTTCCCATTCCTTAGGCTGCTTTTTCATATCCTTTGCTACACGGAACCTTTGGTTTCACGTGATTCCATTTGCCAATTGTTGGTCTTAATCCCTACACACCCCTTTCAAGTGTGTCATTAAGTTACTGATTTGAAATCTCCCGATATTTTATATGGGCACAGAGCACTGTAGACTTCCCTCTTAGTGTGGCCTTCATTGTGTCCAGTAGGCATTGATGTTATGTGTTTGTTTACATCCAACTCTAGAAATTTAAAATTTCCCTTCTTTACTTCTTCCTCCATCCCATTGTCATTCAGCCATGCCTTGTTAACTTGTGTTGCTTCACTGGTTTCT